TGTACAAAAGTGATAAAATAACGATCGCTGTACAAAAGTGTCAAAGGTGGTACAGTATTGGTATAGGGTGTGTGTACGTGTTAGTGTGTGCGTGTGTGCGTACGTGTCAGTGTGTGTGTGTGCGTGTGTATATTATGTGTGTGTGTGTATGTGTGTGTATGTGTGTGTTTCCGATGATAAGCCAGATCCATAGCTGCTGGAGATGGCTCTCTCGAACATGGTCCCGCTCGTCGTTCTATATTGTCGGCCCCGTAAGGGGACACGTGACTGTAATGGCAGTGTTTACCAGGACCAGGACCAGGTGTGTGTGTGATTGTGTTCGTGTGAGTGTGTATGTTTGGGCTTATGCATGTGTCTGAGTGCAGGCGTAGGCGCGTATGTGTGTGTGCGTGTGTGTGTGTGTGTGTGTGTGTGTGAGTGTGTGTGTGTGTGTGTGTGTGTGTGTGTGTGTGTGTGTGTGTGTGTGTGTGTGTGTGTGTGTGTGTGTGTGTGTGTGTGTCTTCGGCTCAAGGACCGTGTTCATCGCGACCTACGCTCCTTGGATACACCATGGTTTGCTACAGCCCAGGATCGACCTTTGTGGAGATCGAGTGTCGTTGATGTTGTGCCTCCACCACCACCGTCTAACTAATACTTCTCTCACTCTAAGTCAACTGTGCACTGCAGTGTTTGCGACCGCTATCTGATTCTTAGTGCGTCTGGGTACAAGCGCCATAACTAATACTTCGTAAGCGCAGCGCGGCCCGTCAACTTCCTGTCAGCCAACAGCCTGGTGCAAAGTCGTGTCAACGTAAAGTCGTTGTGGTAGATGGTTCAAGAGTGTTGGTGGGCTGAAGGTACATAAGTGCCCTCTCGCAGGTTCCTCCCTACAGCCAATCGGACTCTGTCGATCCTGCACCTCGCCTAGTGCTTAAACACCAACATTGTTGCTCATTCCACTGGTGGATTTAAACGGCTCAATTCCGAGCGTGGCAAGCGACCAACAGCGAGGGAGCGTCTTGAGTTCAAATTCTGCTGTGTGTGCGGTGAGAGATATCGCAGGATCTGCAATGGCATGAGGCCGGATGTTCTGTTGCGACGCCGTTTGTTCCCCTCCTCATGAGGGCAGCTTGGCCATTTAACGGCAGCTGTATGTCAAGGTCAAGGTGTGTGTGTGTGTGTGTGTATGTGTGTGTGTGGTGTGTGTGTATGTGTGTGTGTGTGTGTGTGTGTGTGTGCGTGTGTGTGTGTGCGCGTGTGTGTGTATGGTGCACCTGGGTCACTCATCCAGCTGATTGACGGTTTCCATTCAGGCATGCAGGCTGCTGTTCCGGTTGATGGTGATGTGTCTGGGAGCATCTCAGTCGAGGATGGTTTGCGGCAAGGGTGCGTTGTGGCCCCACTGTTGTCCTGTGCTTTGGTCTTGTGTTGGAAGCATGGCGTACAGCTATAGAAGCAGCAGCTGGTGTTAACGATGTGTCCTTGATATCTTCAATCCATGGAAATGACAATCTATTTCCCAAGCGAACCCGTCAAACTGGCACGACATCGGTCAACGACCTGGAGGTTGCGGATGATGCAGCGCTACTTGCACCATCCCGTGAGTCAGCTCAACTGGCTTTGGAGCTGTTCAGCAACGTTGGCAACGGTTGCTTATTCCTTCGGCTTGACTCTGAGTACAGCGAAGACCCAGTTCATGGCCGTTGGTGCAAATTTATCATGTGCTGACCGCCTTCCGCTCTTTGTTGGTCCGGAGGAGATCGAAAGTGTCAATTCCTGTATGTATCTTGGCTCTGTGATATCTGCTGACACCCGCTCATCTGCAGATGTGGCCAGAAGACTCGGTAAGACAGCGGCAGCTTTCGACTTTATGCGCCGCGTCTTTCTTGACCGAAACCTTTCCATCGCCACCAAGCGCCATCTTTACGATGTTCACGTTCTGTCCACATTGCTCTATGCCTGAGAGTGCTGGACTCCGCTGAAGAGAGGCATGGTTGCCATCAACAACTTCCACCACCGCTCTCTCAGGTTCATTCTGGGTGTGTCCCGGCTCGATCAACAGCTGCAGCATATCAACAACCAGGAGCTGCGAAGACGCTGGCTTTCTCCCCATACCTCACACCAGATTTAGCGCTAAATTTGTTTATGCTTGTGGCCCTATGTGTTTATAAGCATACTGTTGGGTAGACCCGAGTATCAGTTGTCTGATGATTGCCTAGCGGCATGAAACTCAGAGTTACAACCAACCTGAACGTCCTCCGCGAGTCTGCTAAAAACAAGAGTACATAAACTGTACTCTTGATAAAAAAATTAATACTCAATTTTCAGACAGAACTGTTTCGTCCTTTGTGGAAAAAAAGAAAGTATGTGAACCCTGACACCAAAGGTGGTGCACACACACACACACACACACACACACACACACACACACACATACACATAGTACACAAACACACACATACACACCCTCATACACCATGTACCACACACACACACACACACACACACACACACACACACACACACACACACACACACACACACACACACACACACACACACACACACACCCCCCCCCCCCCACACACACACACACACGCACCCCCCCCCCCCACACACACACACACCATGTACCATGGCATGTATACGCCCGTCGCAAGAGGAGCACGCAAATCTGCAAATGCACTGGATGTGCACCCACAGATTTTCTCATAGCATTGCAACGACAGCGAACAAGATCTGAATGAGACAGATCAAGACTTGTTCCAGATAACTGTCTAATCCACACAACTGGCGAAGCCATGTGAATCGACCACCAATGCACACCTGGTCTACACCACACGGAGTACATCGGTATAAAACGGCCAAGACAGTTATCTATGCACACCCTACACTTGCTGGGGTAACCAGTATAGACAGCACGCTGCTTTGATAGAAGCAGACACTAGATGCACTGGTACCTTGAAGTGAAATTGGAGTTACTTTACCAACCAGCCTCGGCTACTGAGTAGGGTCCAGCGGATATCATAATGCTCCGAAAATGTTCGTATAATGCTTACCATAATGCTCCAAAAACGGCCTCATAATGCTGATTATAATGCTTCAGCAAGGGATATAATGCTCTTGGTTTGGGACAAAAATGGAAGAAAGTCTGCACATTGTCAAACTTCCAGGAAATTATGCATATCGTCGATCTGCATCTGAAGTTTTCCACCTTATCTCTCACGAGCTCCACTACTTCTTAGCACTATAAGACATGATCGCTTCTCCATTGATTGCTCTCCATTCCAACTTTGATGCAGGGTAGTGGCAGAATAGTCGGTGTATCAAATCCCTCCCCTAATTATCCATGTAGTGAGAGATGAAACCATTATTGCAGGTACTAGTAGTCATTCATTGTTGGGATGAAGTTAATCTTGACCATTGCGAGGACACTTCCGTAGACGATATTGATAAACTCCTTCAGACAGCTGTTTCGCTAATACATAGCTCATCAGTGAAGGTGGATGTGATTGATTTTCCGCGCCGAATTTCCGATGCTGCATGCATGTCCAATGCGCGTCATAATCAACAGTACTTCACACTTTCCTTTTCCCGCGTTATCACCTCAGCTATGCCAGTTTTGTATGTGGAACCCCCCTATATAATACCAGTTTGGTCTATATTTTTAATCATTCAACATTATTAATACTTGAAGTATTATTATTATTTATTACAACATCTCAAGACTCGGCGGAAACACCGGCCAATGTTACGAGAGTGCAGGTGATTGCCAACCACGGCGATAAATAGAAATAAGGGGAGGGAAAAAGAAAGAGTAGCAAAACGAACAGCAACAACAACTCCGTAAAGAAAGATAATGTCAAATAAAAACAGTGAAAACACACAGAGAGAGAGAGTGCGTCTCTGTGTTTTTCACTGTTTTTATTTGACATTATCTTTCTTTACGGAGTTGTTGTTGCTGTTCGTTTTGCTACTCTTTCTTTTTCCCTCCCCTTATTTCTATTTATCGCCGTGGTTGGCAATCACCTGCACTCTCGTAACATTGGCCGGTGTTTCCGCCGAGTCTTGAGATGTTGTAATAAATAATAAGAATAATAATAAGAATAATGTAAATAGGCGTCGAGGCGACAATAGTTTTAGAATTGCGATCAACAGAACGAGCTGAACCGCACATACTTTGATTCCATAGAAGACAGCGAAGTCTTTCTTGGTGCTCTCAACAGCCTTCACCCTTCCCTCCGCTTCACATGTGAGCACGAGCAGTCCAGCAAGTTATCCTTCCTCGATGTACTTGTTGAGAAAACTGAATTTGGTAGCGTAACATCGGTGTATCGTAAACCGACATTCACCGGACAATACATTTCCTATGACTCGTACTGTTCGTCTAATTATAAAGTCAACTTAGTAAAGAATCTCGTGGATCGCGCCAAACGGATCTGTTCACCTTGTAAACTCAGTGGTGAGCTCGAATTTCTCCGTTCAGTTTTCACCAAAAACGGATACCCAGGCGACATGTTGGCAAAACTGTTGTCTACAGCCCCCACGCCGAAACATGAATTGATAGGGCCTGCTCGTTGTCCTGTCTTTTTGTGCTTACCATGGAAGGGCAAGAAGTCTGACAATGTGAGTCGTGAAGTTCGTGCGATCATCAAACAAACCTACTATGCGGTACACTTCATACCCGTCTACACAACGATGCGTTCGTTCACGGTGTTGAAGGACGTCCTACAAACCCATCATTTAAGTCATGTAATGTACAACTTTGAATGCCGGAATTGTGCTAGCCGGTATGTTGGTAGGACTGTTCAGCACCTGAGCGAACGCATCAAGCAACACACTCCTTTATACATTATCCCACGTAGCGCACAACTGGAGCGTCCCACGCGGGGAAGACCCCGTAAACAACCACTACCTCCGCCAACACAGGACCTAGCGTCCCACTCGGCAAGTCCACCATGGGGCTGTTAAGTGATGACGTCACAGTTCCTTGGATACGCATAGCAACGATCCCACTGGGGACAAACAAAAGTAGCGTCGTCTCCACCGAACCAGTTGTCAGTGGCAACATATAGGAATCGTGTACATTTCTTCGTTTCTTCTTTGCTGTTTTCAGTGAGTGTTTTGTTTTCTCTTTGTCCTTGATCTCGACGGCGTTGTCGTGCTCATTACCTTACTGAGACGTCTCTTGTGACTGTAGCAAGTGTCACGGAGGATTTTATTGGCGTGACGAGGTAGATCGCCGAGATCGAGCGTGAAAAACGCTCTGCATTAGTAGCTCCTGTAGAATGTCTTCTGGGATGGCGTATCCATGGTCAACAAAGCCAAGGTGCAAGACAGCATAAGAGATCGTGTAAACGATGTGAACTCCAAAAGGTAAGCTCCTGAACAAGTGGAAAGATATGTGTATTTACAAACTCTCTCTTCATCCATCGATTGCCGCTATGCATTGCATTTTGTCTTCACAGATAATCTGGACAAAATTATATTGTAACTGGAGAGTGCAATCGTGCTTGGGACCCATCCCAATGTCATCACATGGCTGTGGTGACTAGTGTATACCTGGGAGAGTTTTTCCTCAACTGAGACGGAGTGTAGGTGGATGGATTATGAGAAATGCGAAGATGTGGAGTAAGTTGTGTCGAAGAAATGTGTAATAAAATAAAATTTACTTTACACTCAAACATACAATGTACATGTACATGTACAATGTCATGTAACATCATGATAATGATTCCATCTTCATTATCTCCGCAACAGGTACGCCATACGCACCGAATACATGGTGTGTGTGCACGCGCGCGCTTGCGTGCGCGCGTACATGCACACACTCTCATGCGTGGCCGAGTTGGCCGGATGAACAGACCACGCATTTGCACGAGGTGTCCGTCATGTCATTGGAGTGCTGTACTTTATGACTCAGGGGCGTAGGAGGGGTTTTGGAAGTGGTACGACCGAAGGTCGGTGCGGCGGAAGGCCGTGTTGGAGGGGGGGGGCTGGCCCCCCCCCCCCCGGAAAATTTTGTAAAAAAGACACAAAATCCTGCGTTCTGAGAACTTCTGGCGCAGTGTGCAGTCGAGTACAGTACTCAGTACGACTGCAGATGCATAACAGATCTACGAGTACGAGTCTAGAAAAAGGTCTGATGCGCATATGCAAATATCGATGGATCCTGATTTTTTTATTACGGTCTTGCACGTTCCAGACGGACCACACTGTTTGAAAAGTGGTGCGGCCATGGTCGTGCCAGTCGTAGCGGGTGCTACGCCCCTGTGACTTTATTCCAAAATAGTATGTCGTGCCCCTGTCAAATGGAGTTTGTGTCTATGCTCAGCGGGTATCGGGCCATGACGCCACACTGCAGTCAGCGCTGGAATTAAAATAGCACTTCATGGATTACTTTAACTAATTTCCTTTGCGTTTACTTTGTTGAGCCCGTGGTTTCATTTCTGTGTTCTGTTATGATTGACCTCTGGAAATAATCGGAGTGGATGTCATTTTTTGTCATATGTGTGTGCCTTGTGCAACAGGTTCAAGGCTAGATGCACTTCACATTCGGCGTCTGGGACCTGATAACATCTTGGTTGGATGGGTAATCAAGGATGATACTACTCGGCACACCAATGTACATGTCAATGTAGTTTTTACTTTTTCAGAGCTGCACTATTTACGTCTTGATGCTTACTTCGGTGCTAGTGTCGTGTCCGTGTGTTGCTACAATGTCATTATCTGTATTGTATTCCGTCTGCTTATACATGTGTCTTTATGAAGTGTTTGCCGTGGCGGCGATGTGTCTTGTCGATCAATAGTGTTGTGAAACCTATCACTATTCATGCTTTGCTGGCTACTCGCTCGCTCCGCGCCGTGCACGCTACTAGGTCTTGTAGTACAGTCAGACCTCGCTTACCCGCACACATCTGTTTTCCACAAAAATACCCGGATAGGCGAGGGAACCGGATAACTGAACACACATACTGTATATGATGCATGTGGCATATCAAAAGCAGTGACATCGTACATACATGTAGACGGGTCCTATGCAGTGCAACTAGCGTGCACAGTATGTAAAACAAGCGAGAAAAATGACAAGTGCATGCAACTGAGTGCTGTCCACGTGCACCCAGCATGAAGGACCTCATTTGCCTGTACAACTCCCTGATTCTAGCTTCTGCAAGGCACATGCAACCGGATACGACGAAGCTTTTTGTACACATTTCAACCAGTTTGTACACAAAATCATGCACCGGTATGCGGATCGCGAGGTCCGGTTATGTTGTATGCATAACATATGCTGCACATCGGTAACCAGCGATTTTCTTCCGGATGGCGAGGGATCCGGATAAACGAGGACCGGATAAGCGAGGTCTGACTGTATATAGCTCGATGCTTTGCATCGATCGCTGGTTGTTGTTGTTCTTGTTGCTTCTCTGTTGTTTGAGCTTGGTCCTAGAGTGAAGCTTTGATCTTCTTGTGTGGTGAGGGTGAGGAATGGGTATCTGGACTACTGGTATATTTCCGTAAAGAACCTGGAATTGTAGAATCCTGAGAGTATGTCTGGCCCACTCCCCGGTCATGACATTAGGGTGTTTCCCCCGGATTATTTCTATCATCCTGCGTGTTCTTGGGCTGAGCGAGCACATGCACGAGTGTGCAGCTATAACCCTGTGTATCTTTGGTTACACTTTGTTCTGCAATGCATGTACCTTGTAACAGTCTGTGCTTGCACTGCTTTGTGTGGCCTGCGTATTTCAGGACTATTCAGTGCATCAGACCCAGGTTGGTTTGGTTGCCGGATGATCTCTTGTTGCGTCGCTCTGTGTTTTGTATAATTTTTCGGCTTGAGAATTGAGCTGGTGTGTGGTTCCCAATATGAAAACATGCTGGTGCTCTGTGTTTCGATTATCGACTGTCCGCGGAGCAGTCACGATTCATTACCAGAACGGTCAATACTGTAGTCTCTTCACGTGTTTGTGTTTTCGCCGGGGGAATTAGCAGTGACGTTGCACATAGAGCGGCAGTGTTGCATCACTGGACGACCCTGCCTCTGCATCTGACTTAATCTCACCAGGATCTGGTGCAGATACACCAGACAGTCACTTCCTGTAAACATGCAAACAGCAAAAGAAGAGATCCCGCAGATCAGGAAAAACCATTGCGGAAAATATCGAGTAGATCATACACCATTCAATAATCTGGAGTAATTACAGTGAGACAAACACTTCAAACAGTGCTCTCTCTCTCTCTCTCCATCCTTCCAAAATACCCTGTAACAATTCCCTGGAATTATTTTATTTTATATTCTCAGGACATCATTCTGAATAACTTCTTCCATGGGTCTTCAATCACCACGGAGGGCGAGAATACAGCTAAGTCATGCAGTCTACGGGAGGTGCGGGCTGTCATGGATATAGAGGCTGATATTGTGAGGGCAGAGACAGAAAGAAGACACTGATTTCTTGATCTACTCACCTACATATAATCGAATCCACAGGGAGCGCTCGTACTTTGATCCATCAGGAGGCGAAGAATCTTCAAAGCACTCTCAAACACGGAGTTATACAGTGGGCAGCCAATTTCACAGCCATTATGAAGGCCCTCGACGACTACAGGAGATTTGTAGAGGAAAGAACAAGGAGTACAGAGCGACAACAATCGCTTGAAGAAAAAGCAAAGAAAAACTGCTCTCTCTCCAGTCATTTAGATGCTGTTGCCCTTCACAACTGTTCCATCCAGAGGACGCGACTTTTGTTTGTCCCCAGTGCTCTCCGTTGCTATGCGTATCGAAGGGGCCGTGACGTCACACTTAACAGCCCCATTGGCTCCCGTGGCCATGACCAAGTCACTCCCTCCACCAGCGGAGGTGGATGTGGCTTTGGCGACGCCACGTGTGTTGCATGCAGACACGTTTGCGTCATCATCGCTTGCTGCATCACCGGCAGAGACGACAACAATACCTACCTCAATATCAACGAGACCCAGAAGAACAGCTGCGAATTACACCATGACCTATTTCAGTACGGAAGTACAGAGCCAACGGAATGCACAACCGGAGCGTGAGACAAGGGATGGGAGGAGACGGGACCTGATTGCTCCAAGGCAGGACGTCGTTGAGGAGGATTCGGCCAGTGAGTCCAGTGAGTCCGGTGAGTGTGAGAGCGAGAATGATTGTGTGAGTAAGAGTTTTTTTTTTTTTTTTTGTGTGAGTAAGAGTGGGTGCGAGCGTGTGTTTTCTAGTAGGAAGTCATCAGTGTATAAGCATCTTGTATCTCGTCCTGATTGCTGCAAGGTGTATTCTGATTCTTCTTTTTCTGTTTTGTGCCGTGCTCGTCATGGTTATAAGTTGCAGTTGAGTGTGTTAGAAGCTGTTTGTCAACGTATTCATAAGCCTAATCTGTGTGTCCAGAAGGACAGCATAATTCGTTTGAAATTGTTCTAGTAGCAGCTTGTTCTGTCTGTTTGGCCCTGGTTGCCCATGGTGTCATATCTTGTGTCACAGTATACTAGTAGTCTTTACAAGTTCGTTAAGTGCTTTCGCAGTTTTTCCTGTTATTACCTTAGTGCTAGGATTATCATTTTCATAGGTGTTGTTTCTTCTCACTCCATTTCTCTTTATTAGTATCTTTCTGGATTGTTTTTCATTAGTACAACGTAGCTTCCTGAGGAGTGTTGTGCGAAAACTAGTTCGAAGTACGATTTTTTGTTCATCATTTTCTCCATATCACATTTTTTTCTTTCTTCCATGTTCTTCACTGCCTTCGTATCCACTCGTTTTTTGAATACAATAAAAAGCCTTTGTGAAATGTCGGTTCAGCTCGTTCTGTTGATCGCAATTCTAAAATAATAATAATGTTGAATAATTAAAAATATAGACCAAACTGGTATTATATAGGGGGTTCCACATACAAAACTGGCATAGCTGAGGTGATAACGCGGGAAAAGGAAAGTGTGAAGTACTGTTGACGCACATTGGACATGCATGCAGCATCGGAAATTCGGCGCGGAAAATCAATCACTATTCAGGCTGCGTTTACACGACAACGATTGAAAACGATTTGCGTTTACACGACAACGAAGTAGGACCTAAACGGAACGAAATCGTTGCGTTTACTACTACCGTACTGGCAATATAATTATGTTGCCGCAGTGAGGCCATGAAGCGTTACATTGGCACATGTTTGCCGCACGCAGGGCGTTACATGCAAAGTCGCACAGGAGCCGTTACACAGGTTTCTATATTGCCGCAGTCCTTTTTTTGCTATTGCAGGACTTCCTGCTGCGTCCAGTTTTGAACTTTTCACCACGCGGTACACGTGCTTTCACAGTTTCAGCCTTTTTTGCAATGAAAAGATCGCCGCACCCCGCCGGACGCGCGTTACAAACTCAACGAAAATTTGTCGCACTAGCCTGGTCGCGCGTTACGCCGCACCCCCCTGCGTTACGCGTTACGCGGCAACATATATTGCCAGTACGGTATCGTTTACACGACAACGCCCGAAAACGATACCTAAACGGAACGAAATGGAAACGCACTTCAAAGTGTTTTGAAACGTTTTCAAAACGTTTTCAAAACGTTTTCGTTCTCGTGTAAACGGTGAAAACAGTGAAAACGATTGGAAACGGAGCGCGGTCATGGAAACCATTCCGCGCAGGACTATATTTCGCGGGAAATACCTGACCTTTGCGACCACCAGCACGTACCAACTCCAACTAACGTGTTACTTCCCGCCCTTGCGCCAAGCCGGCACGTGCTAACTCCAGCCTGATCGCCCGTTTTCCGTTTTCGTGTGAACGGTTCAAAACGATTTGCCGTTCTCGTGTAAACGGTTTGAAAACGATTCGAGGCCAGCCCGTTTTCGTTCCGTTTCGTTCCGTTTCGTTTCGTTTCGTCTCCGTGTAAACGCAGCCTCAATGCAGAAATAACGTGCCAGAATCAGAGTACTATGTAGCTAGTGAGAGTCTGTGTACTGTGTAGTATTGCAGTTTTCCGAGCGCCATGGAGGCCTGCGAACGCACCTCACGACCCGCCGACGTCGACAGCCACAGCAGCCCCTGGGGCATGACACTGTACTGCTTGCCCGTCGCGCCAAGACGCTTGGCAGTCACTTGGCTTCAGGCCACCAATGTTGTCCGCAAGCTACCTTGTTATCTGCCCATCACCCACTGCCGCTGACACGCTGGGAGGCCCCGCGGCATTCGCCCAGTATATCGTCGTCAGAGCTGTGTCGACGGTACAATAACGCTGGTAGAAACAAACAGTTGGTTATTACAGGGTGCGACAGAGCTCTCGGCCATTGAAGAAAATGTTGAGTCACCTCCACCATTACACTGCGCTCTTTAGCCGTTTTTGTATGTGGAAACCCCCTATATAATAGTAGTTTGGTCTATATTTTTAATCATTCAACATCTACCTTCACTGATGAGCTATGTATTAGCGAAACAGCTGTCTGAAGGAGTTTATCAATATCGTCTACGGAAGTGTCCTCGCAATGGTGATGGTTGTGTGCAGGAGGGTCTAGTCGGCTAAAGAGCGCAGTGTAATGGTGGAGGTGACTCAACATTTTCTTCAATGGCCGAGAGCTCTGTCGCACCCTGTAATGAAGTTAATCTTGGCAAATAGTATTCCTGCCTGCAGACAAGCTGTCACTGCGTCCACTCTGTGAATAATGTCTTCATCTGAAACACCAGACGTGAGGCCAGCTCCTGAGATCCGATCTCAGATGGAGAGCCCTCCCATTTGCGGAAATCCTGAAAACACGTGGTTAGGAGTTATTTTGCCACTCTACATCCTTTGCTTGTGCTCTCATCTTCTCCTTGAGATGGTGTGTAGACGTATGGCTTGCCACAATACTCTTCCTTTCTGATAGCATTTGACTGTAGGCCTGG